CTCCCTTCCTTCTTTCTTTCATTCCTTTTTCCCTCCTTTACTTCCATTCTCTCTTCATTCTTTYCTTCCTTTCTTCCTTCTTTACTAGTCATCCACTTTTATTACATTTTTTTATCTGTTAATTTAAGTCTGACTCCTGTTTTTCTGATAAAATCTTAAAACAACTAATTTCAATTCCTCTTTAACCAGATCTACATTTGAAGGATTTGGTTCCAGAGGGTAGTACGCTTGCATTCAAAATTGCCCAGATGCTGAATCGTGACAACAACAGGATYATACGCAACTGGAGACACTTAGCAGAGTCACTAGGAGTACCAGCAGATGTCTGTCTGTCTTTCACTTGTGACCAAGAACACAGTCCTACGGAAGATCTCTTCAATTATTTAGCTACTTGCAACGCTCACATGACAATTGGAGAACTTAAAMAATTATTAAAAAGCATGAGTAGAAATGATTTGGTTCAAATTCTGGACTCAAAAGGTAGAGTTAATTATTGGATGGACAATAATGTAGGCAAGAAATATGTGCAGCATTTCCTATCTACATGTATGTATTACTGTMATTTTTATAAACATGCAGACTCTGTAGATGGGAGCTGCATGCTGAAATTTGTTTTTTCGCTGCTGTCAAYCAAAGATAAAATTTATAAAAAGATAAAATATTTTATATTTATTCAGCTGGTACCTATCACATTTTTGACTGTCGGCAGCGAAAAACCAAATTTCAGCCYGCAGCTCTCAGCTCTACCAAGTTCACATACTTATGAAAAAGGCAGTAAATACAATATTTGAACATTTCTGATATACAGTATATTGTAAAATTAATCAGGACCAGGCATAGCTCAGTTGGTTAGTAAGCTGCCTTTTGAGCYAGAGGTCCAMAGTTCAATCCTCRGCATCTCAACGTCTGTTTCAACTTCTCTCTATTCCTGTGTAGCTTTATTAGGCACAGTATCATTAGATTTGACACATGTAAAATTTGATATCTAAATTGGGCCTTAAATAATACATATAACACAAGTGGTTTTTCTTTATTTCTTCACAGGGATTTCTAACAATGAAAAATTAGATTTGCATCTAGAAATTGTTGACACATTCAAAGAAAAGCTTGATATTCAATCAAGAACTCTTAGCTGGACGCAGCTAGCTATTAAATGTAGGATTGCAAAGAAAACTTATGCAAAATTTGGAAAACCTAAACTTGGTCCTACATCACAGTTGTTCTTGCACATCAGGCTGAATGACAGTTTTGAAAATCTGTCCATTGGAGAGCTGAAGAAGCATATTRAAGACATGGATAGATATGATGTTGTTAGGGTTTTGRAWCATAATRGAGTTCAAGGTAGGTTCTATTYTKCYTTGAATTTTTTACACTGAAGAARGTCTGAGATTGGACCAAAATGTCTGTACAATGTCTAGCTTGAAAAATAGGTCAGGGGAAACTTCAATTCAAGAGGGGTAGGGGGACCTTCCTTTGGATTTCCTTCACAATATCTTAAGTTTGCATACAAACACATAACGTTGTTTTATTTTTAAATTGGACTACAGTTGAGGTGAGCAGTAAAAGATTGCAAACTAGATCGTATTCATACATTAAGGACGTTCACAGAGAAATGTAGTTACAATCAGAATTTTTTTAAACTTGGCATAAACATACCCCAACATATTCTCGTTCAAAAAATGAAATAAAAAAATGAGGGTCACGGAATTCGTTTTTTTTTAACGCTGTGGGAAAATGGTACTTATAGAGGGAAAAAACATGCGCTATAGAGCAACCTAAGGGATCAAAGAAACAGTTTGGAAAAAAATTAAAACATCAAAGAAATGCAGAAAACAAATTCATGGCCATCAAATATGACTTTCTTAACATTTTGGAATTAAAAGCATGTAAGTAAGAGCTAGTGATATAGTGATAAGGATATATAAAACTTTCAAACCGTGCGATAAACTTAGTCAAAATGTGTACAATTCGAATTCATTAACAGGTGGATTTTCCCCCTTAATTTGGTGTCAATCATTCCCTTGCAATCAGCATTATTTTAGATTTACATAKTTTTTAGATTTTGGTAGTATCTTTATCTTAAGACAAAGAAAAACGGGGGTCACCAAATTGGTTTCCCAGATATTTTGCCGTAAAGAAGTGTAAAATGAATTTTCTTGATATTTTGCCAATTTGTATGAGGTCATCACAATGAGTGGAGCGCACTAAACTCATGCATAAAAAGGCTGCGCATGAACAATGCCTGCGAACATCCTTAAGTGTTCCCCAAACTTCACATTTCGAATATCACTTGCTTCTTTTAGATGATGCCTTGGTGAAGGATGTGTTCAAARTCGATACCCAAATTTTGGATGAAACTAGTGAATTACTGGACAAAGATCTCARGTCTACCAAAAACTGGAGGAATCTTGCTGTCAAATTAGGCATCCCTAATCATACTTACGAGGATTTTGATTCAGCCAAGGGCAACAATAAGAATCCAACAATGTTGCTTTTGAATTGGCTGGCAATTAGTCAGTCACGACTGAAAGCAGTTGAGTTCATTGAACATCTAAAGAAAATCCAAAGAAATGATGTGGTTGAAGAACTGCAGAAGGAAATGCCAGCAGGTARATTTCTGCAAAGGGTTTGAAATGATACTTTAAGTAATATATACAGTATGAGTGGCYGKGTTGTATCCGATATATCCGTGTTGTAACTCAAGGCGTAGCCRAGAGTTTGTATATTGGATACAACACGGACACGAATACTGTAGATTGCTTATCAAACGTCTAGGTTAGTTCCTTTGTGTTTCACTAAAATTTTCAAAATTAAAGTGAATCTGCCCAAGAAAATCCAAGTTAAAGTTTATRMAAATGAAGACAATTCTGTATCTGATTTACAGAACTCTTCACGRTCGTGATTTCTATTGTGTTTTCCTCATGAATTATTAATGAGTTTGATAAGTAATRTATAGTTTACAATATGAGCCACCGATCTATATTGGCTTTCATAACAAGCCAGAGGCTTTTCTAGGTTATAAAAAAATTATAAAAAACTTATATTTAACAACCACCACTCCCCATGCGGGGCTCTTCCGTGAGGTTCCCTCCACATGCACTACCACTACATTCTATATTAATTACAACATACAACACTTCAACTCAAATGTTGCTTTTTAAGGAGAGAGGAAACCAGAGATCCAGAAGAAAATCCTCCTGGCAAGGGAGAGAACAACACAACAAACAAACTCAACTCACATATRATCCAGTCTGAGCCAGGGCTCGAACACGGACCATAATTTCATGTTCRACAGTGAGTTTGATGTAGAAAACCCATGTTAAAGTTGAATGCATAATCAGGACAATTATGTATCCAATTTACAGATTTCTCCTGGGTGACTGTTTTGTGGTTGTTTTTTTTTTGGTTTTTTTTTCTCATTAATTTTCTATATTTGATAACATAGTTCCATAATTTATTATTTTTATCATCATTATCATTATTATTATTCTCATCATTATTTCATTATTACTGTAAAACCTTGTCACTGATTGACTGAAAGACCTCAATACATGCTTTACTTTCAGTCACTATAATATAAAAAACTGGTACTTTTATACTATTTTTTCAGCCTTAGAAAGAAAAAAATTTCGAGACATTGTGGAGGAGCAATTAGTAGTAACTTGCCAAGGCTCATGGCTTCAAGGCAGCTCAGTTGTTTCTGATAGCCTATGTAGTAACCATTCTGTCGACATCAGCTCTCTCAGTAAAGAACAACAACTTGATCTAAAAGTCACAAGCCTTCCTCTTGAGATCTTAAGCAAAGTTTGTGCAAGGCTAGATGCTGAAGACCCATTCTTCCATGACTATCGTATGTTTGCTGAACRACTTGGTGTCAGGAATGAAGATATCCGCATTCTTGAACAGAAAAAATCAAAACCAACTATATCCCTTTTGGATAAATATAAGCTAAAAATAAAGGAATTCCTTAAGATCTTGAAGGCAATTGAGAGAGAAGATGTAATGGAGGTTATAGAGAAGTGGCTAAAGCATGATTCTAAAAAGAGTGAAAGTCCTCTTGAAGCTTAACTGTAAGACAATGAAAAAACATTTAGGCTAATTCAGGGGAAGAAGAGACACTCTGTGGAATCCAATGTTAATTCCCATTGGGTAGTTCCAGAAATTATTCATACACCCCATACAGAGGAATTTCTTTAAAGACACCCCTCCCCTACCCCCAGAAATTCCAATTTACTTCCATACAAACTCTGTAATTTTTGTTCTTTCTATGACCCTGCCTCCACCCTTCAGAAATTCCAAATTTCTCTATGGGTGGGTTGTGGGTATGAATAATTTCTGGAACTACACTTTATAATTACTATTATCTATAGTCAGATCATCCAGTGATTTGCATTAATGATGCTAATGCTGTAGCTGCTGTAATAATTTGATAGTTTTAATTAGTATCCTACTCAGCCGCTATTAGTATTGACACACACCGTTCACTCCCCTAAGTAGCTACTTAGCGGAGTGAGTGTTGCATGATACTAAGGCTGCATTCATAATGTATGGCAGAGGGGGGAGGGGGCATTTGAAAATTTGAAATGTCCAGCAGGCTAGGGGCGGATCCAGGAATTTGTTCAGGGAGGGGTGCTGTGCACAAAGTTAACCCAGGGAGGAGTGCGTCCCTTAGAATCAAAGGGAAAAAACATTATTTTGTATTGGTTATCTTCAAAGTATAGGGGCACAAAGTCGAATCAGGGAGGGGTGCGCTTTCCCCTGGATCCGCCACTGTCCAGAATAATTCTTAACAGCACCCTTAAAGTCATGCAAAAAAATACGATCCCCCCAAAGCAAGGCTTGTAGCTTCTTCCAACAATGGTGCATCCCCCCATTTTTCTGATAAAAATTTTCCTGTACCCCCTTTTTCCTACCAAAATTTTCCCGGTTTCTCCCTCAATTTCACCTGCCCCCCTGTCATACATTATGAACGTAGCCTAATATCAGCTGTGTAGGAGACTGTAGGAGTTTTAATAGGCAAGGTTTGATAACTTAAAGTTCAAACTTGAATGCTAGGCTTTATTCGTATGGTAATTCATGTTTGGTACAAACATGTGAACCRGCAAATTAATGTACCATATATGACATTCCTACCTTTTGGCAATAATTAATTCTTTTGTTTTTTATGCTACGATGAAAGAGGGACAGCCAGATTTCTGGTATGGATTAGCAAGCAATCCCACCCGGCCTCCCCCCCAATGAAAAAATGGTCCCTTAATATATAGGGTCCCTTATCATAGACAAACTATGTGAGAGTATTCTGCACAGTCAATAAATATTTTACTGGATTAGGATTTTACTGTACTAGGAATAGTAATGCCTATGATACAAAGTCAGTGAAAATAATCACAAATATTAATCACAATTTTGTCGCACTGTCAATATATCACTTTTATCTTGATAAGACTTAGAAAGTAAACCTAGTATTATTTGTATGCATTAACTAAAGTATGTTGGTCCCCTTCTTACTCCCTCTGTGTTGCGCTTTCCGCCACCCTCGCCCCCACATACAAATCACAACCAGCTCTTCATGGAAAGGGTGTTGGTAAGTTGTCAGTAGGGTATTGGTAGGATGTCAGTAGCAGGTGTGGATCTAAGGAAGGACTATAGGGGGAGCACACCCCCACCCCAGATGAGCTGATATCTACTGCATTATAGTGGTGTTTGAGTTTGTAAGCGAAGGGTGCACCTCCACCTAAAATGAAAATCCTGGATGGTGCACCCCTCTAGAAAAATTCCTGGATCTACCCCCTGAGTAGCAACGCAGTAGGATGCATAACATTTTATCCCCAAGCCAGATTCCCACTGCCACASAAAAACATGCATTTTTCTGTCGGGGGTCAGCAACGAGCCAGTACGGTCAAGTCTGCGGTCTTAATCGTTTTTGGGCTTCCTGTGCACAGGAGCCCACATTCTAGATTCAGCAGTATTCTSCAATCCAAAATGGCGGATGTCAGTGAAGGTAATTTTTTTTGTCGTCTCCAAACGCGCCCCTGAAGATTTGAATTTAAAAATGACTCTTCATTTTCTCACTGTAGCTGCTCTGCCCCCTGCAAGCCAAGAGGTTAAGGATTCAGAGGTTGTTTTCGTGGAGCCYGCTCGAAAGATACTTAAACCAGCTGACATAGGAAAGTGGGAAAAATCGCAAGTAAAAGAAGTCGACCCATGAACCTAACTCTAGTGACACTGATAATGATTTTTAAACTATTCTAAGTTTTAAGTAATGAATATGAATTATTTGATGAATGCGAGGTTTTGAATTTTTAGAACTTTGCCTTCATCAAAAGCCTTAGTACCGTAGTGGCCCRAAATATTGTTCATCATCTATAGGATGGGAGGGATGGGTGGGTGAGAAATTGGTAAACCTCTTTACCTTGCGCATAATGTTTCCCATTTTTTCCCATTTCAGTCTACCTTTATTCATATCATGTATCCATATTCATGTGTCTTCTCATGTGCAGCTGATAAACAAAGAAATAATACTCTAGAGAATGACACATGGTCTGAAATGGGAAAACATTACACCAAAATTAAAGAGGTCTATTTTTTCAAGTCCTGAATTTCCAAAACTTATAACCACCCCCTCCAAATTAATGGTCAAATAATTGTTCAAAATTCAAAACCTCCCCCCCCCCCTGCACAAGGAGTATCCCAAACAACTCCAAATAACCACCCTTTTCTCAGGCTTTGCCTTGCTTAAGAGCAAATTATGGTTCAAAATTCTATGGACTTTTAATGGTATATATGAATAGCTGACTTATAAACAAGGTTAAGCCAGTGCAAATGCGTCTTAAAAACAGCAATATGCATCGAATGTGAAACTGGTGTATTGATAATTTATCTGCATTATATTTTTGTTGTAATTGCCATTGTTGTGGTCATAATGCCTTGCCATATTTCTCTTGATAGTACTATCATGATTTACTTGGATTTATCACACTACTTGGTGATGCAAYAAAAGGCAAAAAAAATACATCTCCACGGCAAATTTCTGAGGTAAGACAATAAAGAAATATATATATATAAATAACAGAAAAAACTTGCCACCAACCTCTTTCATGTCCAAGTCAGGGAAAAAGAATGACTTGACTTAAATTTGGAGAAAAAATAGGGACTTTTTACACTTAATTCATTTGCCAAAATAACTAAATCTTTACGRTTTTATTCAAAAATTTCACAACACAACTTCCAATATCTTTGGTTCATTTAGGTATGTCAAAAAGTTATTGATATTCTTGATTGTATGGACAAGTGGATAGATAAGATACCGCCAATAGAACAGCCACAACGATTTGGTAACAAGGCATACAGAGACTGGTTTGATCACATGCTTCAGGTATGACAATCTTCAATACAAAAACATTTGCAACATGACTGCTATCAAACTACTATTTACATACCATTTGTTACAATTAATCTTAGAATGTCCAATCAATGGCAGAAGGATTATTACCGGAAAAGTTTAAGGGAGCATCAATCGAACTTGCATCTTATCTTAAAGGTATTTTTTTCATTTGAAATAAATATACAAAATAAYATGAGTAGTATGCACTTGTTCTCATAATGTTTTGCAATTGATGTTTTAATATTTTTCTTCAGAGGGCTTTGGAAATAAAACAAGAATAGACTATGGCACAGGTACAACTATTAATTATGCAAGTTTGCTTAAGATCTAGTGTCAGTGCTAGCTGTGGTTTAGGGATTGAGAAGAAACATTCCCCTCCCAACTGCATGTCCTGCCCCCTTTTTGTCCTCTCTCTGCCTCCTCTCTTCCCTCGTTGTTGTCCCCTTGCTTCCCCTTGCTTTCGCCTTTTCTGCCCTGTTCCTCTATGCATCCYGCTGCCTTTCTCCTCATCCCTTCTTCCCCTTGTCTCTCTTAAAGTGTAACTTGTTCCTCTCAGTTATTAATTGATTTTGTCCCTTTTCCTTTCTCTCCTTTCACTCTGCTTCCTTGTTCCTCTCTGTCATYCATCTGTCTTAATTTCCCTTTGTCCTCTTTTCTCCCCTTCCCTGCCCTCTACCCCCATGTCTCTTTAAAGGTCAAAAGCCATTAAACATTGACCCTTATATAGCAGGCACATGCTACATCATTGCCTCCATCTTGGTTAACAATAACATAGCATTCCTCATTAGCTTCTCTTGTTGGATCAACCAACATGGCGGTTRTTTCATTGTTATTCATATCTCAAKGGATTTTGAGTCACATGGTTGCACACACTCTACATGTATRAGTGTGGCTAGTGCTGTACTTAAGTAAATTTAATGAGTGAATAATAAGCATGTAGTTTTTATTTCATAGGTCATGAAGCTTCATTTGTTACATTTCTTTGCTGTTTGTATAAACTAAGAATCTTCCAGGAATCGGACCAAGAGACCATCGTATTTGAAATATTTAACAGGTAACACAAAAATGAAGCCAAAAATTAACTTCAGCATCTTAAGAACTCAAAAAATATAATATTATCAGCTATTCTCCTCTCAGACATCTTACTTTGTGTCTTTTAGGGACCGGTCATTAATTACGGGAGGGAAGCGATGGATGAGAAATAGGGTGCGTCTGGAAAAAAATTGAAAGCGAAAGGGGGGTGTTAGCCCTACAGAAAGTTTTACTAAAGTTGTGGATATGGTGGGAAACTCTAGAGACTAAACACATACATTTGTGTATATAGGGGGGGGATGATGCATTGCCCCACCTTATGACCAAGATCTCACTACACTCCTTGATGTCTGGAGTGTATGACGTTATCCTGTTTGTTTCAACCCCTAGATATCTTCATTTAATGCACAGACTACAGAGTGTTTATAG